TTAAGTCATACCTGAGTGGTCTAGTGGTTTTACCTATGTTCTTCAATTTAAGCCTAAATTTTGCAATAAGAAGCTCATGATCTGAGCCACAGTTAGCTCCTGGTCTTGTTTTTGCTGACTGTATAGAGCTTCTTCATCTTTGGCTGCAAAGTACATCAGCATCCTTAACCATTTAAGACCCTAAAGGTTGTTACAAAAACTCTGAAATCTGACCTGTAGCATATAGTGCAGTTCCTTTAGGATGTTTGAAGCAGCTGCATTCTGTGCCAGCTGCAGCTTCCAGGCAACTTCAAGGCACATTGCAGTAGTTGTAACTGGAAACTTGCCAGACTGTGTGCTATTGTGGCCCAGCCAGGAAAGGTTGCAGCTGACACCCAGACACAGCTGGCCAAATGCACTTTGGGCCACCAAGATCACTTGGGCCTCAAATGACAGAGGCAGAGATAGCATACATCCTTGAGACATTTATTGCACCCTGTGTAGGGAATAAATGTGTGGGATCCTATGACAATATCTGTTCTAAATTCCATAGCTTCTATTGTACTTCTGGTGCTGATGGGATCAGGATAGGATGCAACTCAATGTCTGTCCTCTACTTCAGAAATTACTACCTCAAAATTCAGTGAGAATCAACCCATCAAGTGTCCAGGTTGGAGAGTAGATGTTCAGTTTCATGATAAAGACTCAAATTAGCATCCCACTTATGCTTCATTAATTCCTGCACCCCAGGGATATTTCCATGGAGATCTCTATGCCAATTCAAAAGCAGCTCTGGACTTCTGTGATCCCATGTTAGCTGAGTTTGGCCTAAGCCAATCTATTTCTGGTCTAGCTATGCTTTAATCAAAACTGTGATGATGATGTAAACCACAACTTTCTTTTTCAGCAGTGAAGTTTTGCAGAGGATATGGGTATTTCTCTGCTGGAAGGACCTCTTGCCTTGTCTTTCCTCCTAGCTTCTGAGCTTCAGCCCTCTTAGCAAGTCCTTGAAGGGGAATGCTGTTTTGACCCAGAAGGGTGAAATTGACAAGAGATCCTTTTGTTTCTCAGTCTGTTCAGCAAAGTAGGGAGTGCAAAGCACCAGGCTGCTTATATTTTAAATTTTTTCTTTTCCTTTTGTATATGCTAGAGGGGGGAGGACTGATTTTGGTTACCCGGTGCAGTCAGGATGGTGGCAGCATAGAAGTGCTGTCATAATGAGTTCCTGTTTCTGCAGCATAAAAATTCTGCAATTATTTTAGAATGTACTAAGGACATACTGTGCTACCCTCCAATTTTAAAGTGATTTCTAATAGAGGAGAAATGACGACTTGGTAGTCAGGCAGCTTCACACCATTACAAAGATCAGATTGATTTATATATTTTGCAAACAGGCAAATGCACAGAATACATATTTCAAATGTGAAAGAGGGGGCAATAATTTATTTCATTTCCTTTTTGTGTAAAATAATGACAAGGATTGGCGGGGGTCATTGCTCCAAAACCTGCAATAGCTTTGGTATGGTAAATAGGTATCTAGTACAAACCACAATCATGAAAAAAGTAACAAATATATATTGTGATGACTGATTTGTCATTTGTCTTCCCACTCCCCCCACCCCGCCACCCATTCTATGGGTGCTTCTGGTGGGGCACTAAAGGAATGCTGGAGGGAGAACACTGTGGTTTTAGCATTCTAAGGTTGGCAGGAATGAAAATGATTAACTGGTTTATTTCAAATTGCTTTGGAGGGATTGAGGAATGAACGTGACTAGGGTTCTGTTTCTCTCAAAGGAGTGTGCATTGTGCACAGAAATATCCTACGTCCCCCACCCCACCCCCAGAGTTCTTTCAATGTATTCCCTCCCTAGGGTATTCCCCCCAGCCAAAAGACAGCATTTGGGTAATTTCTAGTAATCCCTGACTGACTGCACTGTTTTTCATTTTATCTGTTTGGATCTTTATCAATCATAGGTGAAAATTGAGAACCAGCATGATTTCCAAGACATTGTAAGTGTGGTAGCCATGGCCAAAACTTATGTCACAACAGAGACTTTCGTTGACTCCAAATACGATATCCGAATCCAGAAAATTGGCAACAATTACAAAGCTTACATGTGAGTTGTTTACAGATATTGTGACTATATTGAAGGGATCTAAGGTACTTTTAAATTAAAAACAAAAGTAGTATCCAAAGCAATGTTAGAATTCTAAATACGTATTGCATTCTAAATATTGCATTTTTCTCTTTTCTTAAAGGGTGGCCAAGAAGAGTAATATATGCTACATGAAAAGGTTATATAAACAATAATGACGTTTACATAATACATTCTCTTCTGGTGAGGCTTTAGGCAGCTGCCAAATACATTATCTTAACAGGATTCTGGATCGCAAGTTAAAGAAATTTACACATGTTACGATTGCTTTGCTATTCAGCAGCACCTAAAATAAAGAAGGCATGATCAAGGGTCTAGTGCAGGAAAGAGGACTAGGTAACCAATAGTGGATTTGGTGCTGTCCAGATATGGGAGTTGAAGCCCCAATATACCTGGAGGGCAACAGCTTGCAGAAGGTTGCAGAAGGCTAGAGAAAAGGGCAACTGAAAACTACTGTCAGCATTGGGCTAGATAAGTGTTCTAGGATAATGAATAGCAGCAGCCTGTAGGCATATGGATAACAATGCTTTTTGTAATGGATAGTGACTAATAGTTAAGACTAGGAACTCAAAAATAACAGGGAAAGTGAAGTCCAACTATATGGGTGCACAATCCCTGGGATTTCAAGGTAACTAATCCATGTTATAATTGTACCATCCTTAGAACACACTCCCAAATGCTTCATAAGCTATTGTTTGTTCAAATGTTCTCAGTATAATATTGTCCAGAATGTATTGTATTACAAAGAACATTTGGTCAAGCAGAATGAAAGACACTTTATCATCAGCTAGCACGTCAGACCATTTTTATACATTCATTTGACAGGAAGAAAGTAGCTAAGTAAAAAAAAAAAAAAGTAATACATTATTCTTACATGATTTACCAACATAAACATATTTGGTTAACTGACAGAAATGAAGTAGAAAGTATACATTTTGATTTCCTGGATAATGTGTATTTTTTTCTTTTATTTTTTATTAATCGCTTTTTTGAAATAAATAGACAGAAAAGAACAAAATTAAAGCAAAGATATAATATCAGTAAGTGGATAGAGAGATTGCAAAAGTTGTGCACTTGATGCTCAGTATACCATAAAAAGCAAACGTTGAGTTATTTTTAACAAAAAGGAAAAGGACTATAAATATTTTTTACATCTCTGAGCTGAATGCCAATATCTCCACTATTTATTATTTAAATATAAATCACCTGACAGAAAAAAGAAATAGAAAAAAGAAGAAACAAGAAAATCTGCCAAAAACATTGAGTAAATATTTAGTTTCTAATTTCTCCTTTGTAGCCTGATATACAGTATTTATAAAATTTCAAATTTTCATATATTTCTAACTTCAATTCTTTAATCAATTCTTTTTCCTCTTAAAATGTACTCTAATGTTTACATTTGCCTTGCTGTATAATATATAATATAGATGGAAACCATTTTGCTTGAATTTAGTCAAATTTCTATTGTGAATGTATGCTGTTAATTTTGCCATTGCTGCCTATTCTCCAAATTTAAGTTCCCAGTCTGATATCATCAGTAACATATCTCTTTGCCAATATTATGCGAGGCTTATCCTCACAGCTATCAACATGCATCTTAGTAAATGGTGATTTTTTGTGCGTGTGTGATATAAAATGTATACAAGCAACATGTAGGAATCTAAATTTCAGTTTAAGTGATGCCATATTTTCTGAGGGCAGAAGAGAAGATGCTAAAGCTATAAAAGTAGGAGGCATCAGCTCTAAGTGAAATGTGGATTCAACTCTTGATCTGAAATGATTTTATAAAAGTCCTGAAAGATTATCACTTCCTGAGCCAGTCAATATAGAGTTTTCTGAACTGAACAGTCATGTATTTGAAGGAACTTCACTATATATCTTGCTTAGCTAATATAATGTCTGTGCTGCAGGAATTAAACCAAAGTGTGTTGGTCTTGCCCAAGCATAATTCAAATGCAATTAAATGTATTTTATAGCTAGTTCTTTTCCAGCCTATGGAAAAATATTTATATCACTGTAACAAGTGATGTGTTCAAAGCTCGTATCATGACTGACACTGAAATTAAGATTCTGAATATCAGTTCCAAAATGTTCTACTTTTCTACACTCCAAATGTAACTTCAGAAGACCAAGTCTGCCAGCGGCACTACCAGCAGGCACAGGCATTAATAACTAGTTACAAGAAAGAAGACTTGAGTCTTTTAATAACACTTCAGGAGTCATTGGGAGAAAGCCAGTGGGTGGCTTTTAGTACCATTCAGTCTCCGGCAGCAGAGATAGCTGTATTTCTACTACAATAGGAAGCAGACTCAATGAAAGCCAGTGGTTTGGTTTTTTTACTCCTATCATCTCCCGTTTTTTAACCAACTCTAAAGCTCACTGATGTCTGTGGGAAGCTTTTGCTTGGCCTTTCTGGCATGGGGCCTCCTGAGCAGTTTAAATTCTACACTACAGAGCGCAAGGTTAATTATTCCACAGGCTTTTCACAGACATTTCTACTGTACAATGCCTGACATACCCTGCAAAGAGTTCATATGGCTGATATAAGAATACTCAACAAGGAATTGGATAAAGATGTAACTACGTGGGAGGTTGCCAGCATTCGGAGGGCCATTTCCAGCTTATGGATGGTGTTACACATTGACTGAGTCATCAGCAACAGTTAAGAGCTTTGAGGACAGCAGGGCTCTGAAAGGATTTTGTGCCAACACACTCTGTCCTGCTTCCCTAATTTCTACCCTCCTTTGTTCAATTTGGAGATGAAATTACAATGTTTGGGAGCACTGATTGTTCTCATGCGGCTTGTTTGTTTTTCCCAGGAGGACATCAATCTCTGGAAACTGGAAAGCAAACACAGGTTCTGCCATGTTGGAACAGATCGCCATGACTGAGAGGTAATGAATAGAAAGAACTACTATTGCTAACATACAATCTTTGGGGCAATCTGATAGGCTTAAGACTGCATTAAGTATTATCCCAAACAACCAGCAGTAGTGCAGAAACTCAGTTTGTATTCTTGAAAATTAAAACATGGCACCTGCTGCTTTCCACCTCCGCTCCTTCTCATTTCACTCCTCCGCTCTACTGTAGCATTCTTTCTCAGGAGTGAGTGAGCACAGTGGGGTGATACCTCCTATTCATCCTATATTATCATGCCAAGAAGGCAGGCAGGGTGAGAGGAGAATATGCCTGAGCTTTTTCAAAGTGTCATTTCCAGTCATGGCAAGTTTCCTATACCAACATTTTCTGCACAGTAATAATATTCAACCTACAAGCAGGTTGCTATATGTGCTTACTACATTGTAATTGTGTGTTTTATTACACATCATGGCAAGGTCTATAGTTAGGTAATAGAGCACCTATCTGCACACAGAAGGCCCTAGGCTAAACCTGGTTGTCTTGAAATAGGCTTAGAAGGCTTCTGTCTGCCTACCTGCCAAGCAGAGTAGATAATACTGAACTCAGTAGGCCAGTATAAGGCAACTTCTTCTGTACACATTCAAATGCAAATATGTAACATATGATATGTAATTATAATTAACATGAAGACTGTCATAGTTTCTTTTAATAATGTACTATGTTAATGTTGTTATACTTCAAGTACTCCTCAATTATATATGTGAAGCACATGAATCTTGCTGGAATCAGATAAATCTTGGTAACCCATATGTTACGTATGAATGCAAAACAAAGGCACAGGTGATTCATCGGCCTTTTATTGACTTCTGATGATGCAATGTTAGTAACAGCTCTTTAGCTGAGTTTTAAACAAATTCGACCAAGAATCCTAGTGTGAATTAATTTGAATGTTCTACTTCCTGCAGTTCCTAGGCATGACTGATGCTAGCCAGAATGAATTCAGCTAGCATTCTCTTGTTCCCCACCTCCCCCAAATTTTGTGGTGGAGTAGATAGTGGCATAATTTTATGAATTGTGAAGACATCTCTTCCATGTTTTTTAAAACTATTTGAACAGCAGGCTTCTAGTGTGGCACTTCTTGGATGGCCACATGACCATGCAAGTTTCTTTTAAGTTGCATTAAAGTATTCAGGATTAAAGTATTCAGGATGAGCTTATTATTGCCTAACTACTACTGATCTTGTTTGAGACTACAGAATTATTTCCCATCTGCACTTATCCTAGAAAGTTTTATGCTTTCTTTCCAGCATCTTCTTTTTCCACCCTTTCATGAGCAGCCACTCCTTTGTTCCCTTCCTCCGTCCCTAGATTTTCATGAAGTTCCTTGTGAATTAGCATGGGCAACCTGTTTGATTTATGGGGCTAATCCATAATGTCAACAGCACATTCCTGGTATCCTTCTCCTCACACAAACCCAGTGTGGGAAAGAATTAGCTCACCAATGATAATTTATTCTAATTTTACAGTCTCCCTACAAGAGAGGTATTCAAATTATCAACTTTGACCCCATTGTTTCTGCCTTTCCCAAATGCTTTGTCACCCCACCGTAGAAGTGCAGTGGCCACTACAATGGCAACATTGTTAGGATGATGTCAGTCAGAAATCAGTACAGGCTATTTCTCCATTAGACACAGACTTCTACCATACGAGGACATTCCAAAGGTATTCCAGAACAGATACAGGGTCTGTGGTATCCCAAGTCCTTCTATATTTCTGAAAAGCCCCCAGAATGAAGGAAAAAAATACACCAAGTCTAAAATTAATATAAGTAATTTCTCCCCCATTGTGTAATGGTTGAAAAGCAAAATTACTAGGAGAAAGAAAAGTTTCTTTAAGGAGAATAAAAGTACAAAAAATACTTCTCCTATCCCTCTGTTCTGTCAGCATTACATACAGCTTTGGAGCAGCAGTTCCTTTGACATCAGATTCCTTGCACTTTTAGGATGATGGTGCTACAAATAACTAATTGTACTCTTTTCATGACTCACAAGATAAGTTACCCAAGTTGACTATTTCATTATGCCCAATGGGGTGGGGCTTGCCCTAACAGAACATCTTTACATTAAATGATTATAGACTACAGAACAGAGTGTTTAGCAAGTATTGCTTCTCATGCAAAGATATGGAAAACTCCAACTCCAACTCTATCTTTTACCCAAGAGTACAAAATCTTATCCTGGTTTGCATCTATTCAGCTTAAATTCAGGACAGCAGCAGACTATACAGACCCTTTTAAACAAGGAGATAACCCTAAATACAGAAAGAAGGGTAATTGGGGAATATGAAATACAGAACAACTTTTTGTCTTTTTGTTCTTCAGTGTACTAGATATTTTGATATTGTTCCAAAAAGATTACATGCAACTTTCAAAAGCAGTACATTGTTCTTGTCAATTCTATAGGTGACTGACAACGTAGGTATAAAAGCTAAAAGCAGCGGCATAACGATCTGCAATAAAATGTAAAATAAAGAAATCAAAGGGATAAAAACAGCTCCTTGGCAATAGCAAAGTATTTAAATTGCATTGAAATCAAGTGAAACCACGATCATCTTTGACCCTATTTTGATGGACATGCCTGTGTGCTTTTCTTGGAAACAATACAGAAGTCGTTTTCCATTGTATTCTTCTGGATTTTTTTTTTTAATTTTCAATCTTACTTACAATCTAGGAATTGTGGACTCTCACACAATTCTAATTAAGTCTAATTAGAATTAGAATTAATTAGAATTAATTAAGCCAAGGTTGCCTAGGTACTGTCACCCAGCAGAGCAAAAGCATTTTACCTATCATTACAATCAACAAAGAAGATTTTAGGGACTCAGCAGAGAGAATTCCAGGGATAAGATATCACAACCAAAAACACCCAAGCACTACTGCTGTTCTTTTTACCACTGTCACCTACTTACCCAATGTGGGCAAGAAGGAATTGAAGCTGTTTGCTTGTTTCTCTGATCCTTTTCACTTTTGAAATAAAGAGAACAAGCAATGGGTGGGGTGTGTGTGTGTGTGGGGGGGGGTAATTCTCACTGAAGGCATGTCAAAACATGGGGCCACTTTAAACTTAATGTCCATAAAAGAACATAATAGTCAGGAAGATTCCTATGGCAATGGATCATCCTTCAAGTATCTGTAGCCCTGATCATTGCTACAATTATCTACAAAGAAAATAGAAAGACCCCTTTGTCATATTGTCTGGATACATGGGTAACTACATTCCACGTTCTTTATCCAGACTGGCTTTGTAATCTCCGCAAATTTTTGGAATTTTTGGAATCTGTTGAATGTTTAAGAGAATAGTTCAGCTGCAAGATAGAAACATGCAATTAAAAAATTCCTTTTGCCTGTTTCATTAAGACAACTGTTGCGAGACCATCAATGTTCTAGCAGATTTTCTTCCAGCACTGGAAACTTCTTTTATTTATTGGAGGAAACAGTTCATCAGATGGGAGCATTTGGTATTGCTTGATATAGTAGTGAGAATGAACATATCTAATACGACACAAAATACTACAGTACTTAGTCAAAATACACAATACTGAACTAAGGACAGAGGTCATTCTTTATGTTTCTACAGCTTTCCCAAGGACTTTCTGTGATTCTGTGCAATATAGTCCTCTTTCTTTTCCCACCAGGTTGCTGAGGACATGGTCATTTTAATTGATTGATTATGTGCTATCAGATTGATCTTAGTCACCACATTTATAGATTATCTCCAAGATGATTTGTCCCCAACCTGGTCCTTCAAGTCTTCCAACAGTGCACCTATCACCACTGTAATTGAGTCTATTCACCTTACTGCTGCTCATCTTCTTTTTCTCTTTCCTCCCACCTTTCCCAGCATTATAGACTTCTCAAGAGAACTAGGTCTTTGCACAATGTGTCCAAAACGTGATGATTTGAGCCTGGACATTTGTGTGAGAATTTTTGATTAATTTGTTAAGATACATTTTTTGTTTTCTTGGCTATCCATAATATTCTCCCCATTTTTGATGTTGAATTTTCTCCAACACCAAAATTAAAAAATGTCAATATTCTTTCTATTCTGCTTTTTCAAAGTCCAATTTTCACTTCCATAGAGTGTCACAGGGAAAGTCATTACAAAGTTTTTGATCTTTGTAGGTATAGACCCATCACGGCATCTAAATATCTTTTCTAATACCTTCATTGCCACTCTACCAAATGCTAATCTGTGGTGTATTTCTTGACTGCTTGTTCCTCTACTGTTGACAGTTGAATGTAAAAAGCAGAAGCTATACAATATTTTAATGTCTTCATTGTCAACATGGTATAGTCAGAGATATTTTAATTCAAGAAACCATCTGTATTATTAGCATACGGTCATACATTTTGATAAACTGCTGTAAAACAAATCTATTCATTTTGTGGAAAGTTAAGAATATTCCTATCCCTGAATAGGAGGCTTGTTTGATTTTTTTTTTTTAAATCACAGTTTAAACAAATAATAATCCCATCTGGTTTCGGCAGATACCGGCTCTGGGCAGATTCTGTTGCAGAGATGTTTGGCGGCCTTGACATCTGTGCAGTCAAAGCTGTTCACAGCAAGGATGGGAAAGATTATATCATTGAGGTGAGGAGCTGAATGAGTGGAATGTAAGTACCATTTAAATAAAGAGATTCAGCATGGCAAACCATCCAGACACACATGCAGATATTTCAGCACTTAGCCCACATATCCCCTTCATCTATTCCATCCTAGAACTGATTCATTTAATTCGTTTAATAGAAGACAGAGTACTTGGCTTCAGAATATTTGGGTGTTAACTATTCTCAAGTTTACATACCTTGATCAAAATTTTAAGAGAGCGTCTTTCCATGTCAGCCTGCCAGCACCTTTCAAGCACCTTCCATGCCTTTAAATTTCAATGGATGGGTGTTGTTGTTGTTTTTTCTTAGGATGCCCCTTGGGAAGAGGGGGATGCTATGAATGGAAATAACAAAGGGCAGGGGAAGAAAGACCCATATTAACTTGAAAAAAACTTTTAAAATTAGCAGCTCAATAACAATGTTCAGGATGCTAATTCCACTCAACTCCCTTTTTCACTTGCTTCATTGGTATAGATGGTAAGTACTTGATCTAAAGGAGAGAGAGAAGGAGGTAGAGCAAAGTTGAATGCCCTATAATAGAGAGGACTCATCTCTTTTCACCAACCAGCTTTTCCAGTCTGCACCACAATGGGATGTGCAGACTGAACTTTGTGCTGTTTTCATTAGAGTTGGGAAGCTGGCCAACTCAAAGGAAGGAAAGAGTAGATTATACATATCAAAGCAGTGATATAAGAAAAGAAAAAAAAAGTTTAACACAGGGAGAAATGGAACAATGCTAATGAAAGGCTGGCTGAGTCTAAAGATAAGCAAAACCGATGACCTTGTTGGTGGCCATCAGACCAGAAAAACATGGTCTGTCCTCTCCTGTGTCTTTTAACAATTAACCAAAAATCAGCAGGTGAAATTATTCAGTGCATGGTGCTTTCCAGATGTTTGGCAATAATTCCCACAATCCCTTGCCATTGGTCATGATAATTGAAACTGATAGTTGAAGTCTAAACATCTGGAGGGCACCAGCTTATCCCATTGTGTTAGCCTTCCTTAGTTGCTGATTTTAATATTTCTTCAGGAAGTTCTAAGATGTATTAGTTCTTCTCCTCTGTTGCCAAATTCCAAACAAGTCTTGGATCAGAGCTGCAGCTTATTTGAGATTCCAGATAAAACAAAATAAGGAAATTCCCTGAGGAGCTTGTGGGTGGCATGAATAATAAATCCTTCTGTCCCTCCTCATCAGGGACACTCTAGGTCTAAAAAAACTGAAGTTTTTGAAGTAAGGCTTGCCATGCTGAGAGAAACTTATTTGTGGGAGTGGGGAGGGTCAAGCTATGGAGAGGGATGGATATTTGAAAATCATCAAAGCTGAAATGCAAGACCTGCTCAAGAGGGGGGAGAGAAGATAATCAGGGCAACTGGAGAGAAAAATGAGCAAGTGTCCTTGGTTACCATATGAGGATGCTGGAATGGAGACTCGGTGTCTGCCCTGCTATAAACTCCACCAACGCAGGGAGGTGAGTAAAACCGGCCTACTGCAACATTCAGGGCCACTGACATATCCAAATAGCTGCATGTGGGAGAGCATTCCCACCCACTGAGCCTTGGGAAGCTGATGAGAACCACATGAGCCCTCCAGGACCAGCACATTCTTCTGTTGCATAAATGTCCTGCAGGAATCAATGACAGGTCAAAGGTTGTGTGACACAAGTGTGCTGCCAGGAAGGGGAAAATGCCTGCTTTTGCTATTCCTTCTCTTCCTGTAAATCATGCAAGAGCAATTGTTGTGCTGGTCACTTTTAATAGTTAACACAAAACTGTACTCATCAGCAGCTTCATATGGAGATGCTATATATGTGGGTGGCTGCAGGCCAAAATCTAATAATGATTTTTCATCTCGTTATCCCAAGTTATACTTTAGAAATCCTAGGAGTACTGTTGATAGCAAAACATTTAAAAACACAATCCAGGAAAGTTAAACGCAGCACAGGATATTAGCAGATTAGGCTTTTATTGCACAACTGCTCTGCCTCATTCTTGGAATTTTACAAGAGATCTAAACAATATTGTTCTGCATTTCTCATTCTCCCATCTTTTTCCATGGCTGCTCCAGCTATTTTTCTCACCAGAAAAAGCATTGATTAAGAGGAAAAAGATAGGTGTCTGATTTCCTTTTATTGCTAGAGATAGGAATCCTCTGTCTGGAAGAGCATCTCATTTCTGGTCCTACTTTCCTGTATGTTACAGCTTGCCTACTTACCATCATCACTGCATGACTGAAGATCCCTCCCTCCCAAATCATTAACTGTGGTTATTCCTCCCCACGTCTCTAGGAAGAGAACATGCATTAAAAATGAAGGGAAAGCAAAGTAAAGCAAAGTAAGAAGGGCCGTTCCTTAACTAAAATGAAAGAGTTAATCAGTATTTCTGTTAGTGGCCATTTCATTTGTGCGATATGAAATGTGAAATCTTCCCAGTACAAACAGAAGACTGAAGAAAAGTTAAGTCACTTTTTTTCCCAGTTGTATGATCCCAATCTTTTATACAAAGCCCCACTTTTACTTCTCCATCTAGACAAAATAAGCATGCAGATCTACTCCCATGTATAATTCTCCATCTAAACTGCTCCTGCTTGCAAACTGTGTCTGTATACGTATGTCTCAGCATCCTACCTTGTGGATTTTCTGAGGCCAAGGGCTCAGGAGAAGCCAAATACCATAACGATCTACTCCTAAAAGGGCCCCAACTGTTGGAAGCGGGCCACTGCTTAGCCAACCAAATAACAAGCAGATAGTAAGGAAATGTATGTATGGAAGGCAACACAGATCTGGATCATGATCACTGGATGGGGCAAAATCAAGGACTCTTTTAGTAATGCTGATTGAGATCACTGAGAAATAATTGCTTAATCTTTGCCCACTACGTATAATTCCAGTATGTGAGATGTATGAATATATAGGGAATGGGGGCAATGTGGGTCACAGATATGAATATGGGACGGAGGTGTACTGAACACTATAGCTATTCCATTACCCACCAGCCACAACCACTTGCTTAGCCTACTCTTTTTAAACACTGCATGAGACTGTAATTAGCTAGGAAGATGAGAAAGAATCACTTACCAACTCCAAAAAGTGAAGTATCTTTAATAAAAGAATTGCAGCAAACCCTATAGAATGAAACTCTATAGGATGAATTTCAGCAAACCCTAAAGGATGAATGCTGCTATTGACATGCTTCCAAAAGCAGCTGAGGTTTTTTTCATAAATGTTTAAGTCACAGGCGCAATAAGGTACACATCAGGGGATCAATCAAATCAATAAAATAAATCTTTTTGAAATATGCATTCATCCCCTTCTCAGATTGTGCATAACGTTTGAGTTGATATTTCTGTTATTTTTAAAGCATTCATGTATGGGTATTTATTTATTTCCCATTACTTATTCACTGCCACAGTTGTGCATCTCTAGGTGGCTCACAAACCTAAAAACCATATAACCATATCAGAATGCTCATTAAAATAACATAAAATTAAGATAGTATACTAAAGGGCAGGTGTTAATCTCCAAAGGCTAGTTGAAACAGCCATGTTTTAGCATCTTTCTGAAGATAACTTAAGTCCAACCAGATCTCCTGGGGATGG